ACTGGACCCCTGTATCACAAAATATCTGTCCAGAGATCTCTGTTTCTGGCATTTCTTTAAGATTTGTCTGAAGTGGGGCACAACACTGTCATTGTACATGTTGCCAACACGGCATGCAACAGCTTTGTCAGGGTGAAGTTCATCCATAAATAATTGCACTTCAGTCCACTTTGCACAAATGTCCTTAACCCTTTGACTGTCGAAGGGCCAAATCCTGAAGTTGCTTCTGGTGTCGCAAAATTTTCGAAAAAAAAAAAATTATTTTTTCTTATGAAATGATAGAGAATCTTTTCCCGATTGTAAAGACACCAAAAAAACTAAATTTGATGGAAAACTGACGGAATTACGCTCTCACGAAGTTAGCGACTTCGGCGATATTTAAAAATCGGCAATTTCGCCCCCTTTGAGCCCTATTTTCGGCTAATTCCGTTATTCCCGTCAACCAAACTCATAACTATTTCTTCAGAACTCTATTTTTTCTATCGATTGAGTACAAGAAACTGCCCATTTACCGATTTCAACTACCCAATAACATGGTCAGAAATTTGCAATTTGGCCAATTTCACGAAAATTAAAAAATACGACAATTTCAAAATAAGGTCCAGAATGAACAATGCAGACATTCCTGGCTCTAAAATAACATTTTCTTTGTTCATCAGTCATGTCTCCAGGTCCCTGTGATATTACTCTTGCTTTTTATTTTGAAATTTTATTCAAACAAAAAATAGAAGATTTACTGTTATGCAGACTACTGCAATACTGTAATAATTGTAAAAATTACATCAACCCATTCATGACTGCGTATTAGAATGGCTATTTGGACATTTATTGGACAATGACATCATTTGTTTACTTTTGAACATCGGCAAAAATCAAACATTTCCTGTACTTTGTGCTCCATTTCCAGGTTCTTTTTATAGTAAAATTAATCAAAATCACCTCCATTTCTATAATATAGTTTCCATTCTATCAAATGAGACCAAGAAAACGAGAATACAACCACAAATACTATACGAAAATAGACCACAAAGTCGGCGTTTTAATTAAAAAAAACGGTCGGAGTTTTTTTTTTCTCATTATGCACTGCGTGCTCCAGGATTTTTTTTATGTGGTGCACACTGACCACACAGACCCATTCTCTCACATGTGGGCCTACTAGCTTTCTCCTGCCTGATTTGAAGCCGCTAGAATTTATGAGTATATATACGTCAAACACGGTACCTCGCAAACGTATATATACAGCCGCGACAGTCAAAGGGTTAATCTTTGAAGAAGGCACCTTCCTTCATCTCTCTTCCTCCTCCTCTGCAGCAATTTCTTGAGCTGTTGCAGATGAAGCTCTTGCAGCTCTGCAGTGATTAGCTCTTCATTGTGGTCCTCCACCAACTCTTCCACATCCTCAAAACTCAAATTAAGCCCCATGGAATTCCCCAGTGACACAGTACTTTCTACAACTGGCATAAGCTCCTTAGGGTCAGCCCCAAACCCTTCAAAATCCCTCTTGTACACATTGTAGCCACAATTTTCTCCAAGCAGAGTTCAAAGTCCTGCAAGTCACTCCCTCCCAAGCTTTACCTATAAGGTTTATGCTAGTGGGGATATTGAAGTGATCATTCCAGAACTGTCTTAGGGTCAATTTAGTGTCTGAGGTCACTTCAACTCACTTTTGAAACACTGCTTTGGTGTACAGTTTTTTAAAGTTTTAAATGACCTTCTGGTCCATGGGCTGAAATAGAAGAGTTGTATTAGGGGGCAAGAACTTCACCGTGATGGAACTAAACTCCTCCACCATTTGCTCTTCCAAGTCTGTAGGATGAGCAGGAGCATTGTTCATTACCAAGAGGCACTTGAGTGACAATTTATTTTCGAGAAGGTATTTCTTCACACTGGGGCCAAACACTTCATTAAACCAGTCAAGGAAAATTACCCTTGTGACCTATGCCTTTTTGTTAGCCTTCCACATCACACACAAATTACTCTTGGCGACACTGTTTTTCTTGAACACTCTGGAATTTTCAGTGATACACCAGTAAAGGCTTCACTTTGCAATCCCCTCTAGCATTACTACAAAACATGAGCTAGTCAGTCTTTCATAGGCTTGTGTCCTGGGAATGCCGTTTCCTCCTGCATGATGTAGGTCCTCTTTGGCATTTTCATCCAAAAGAGGCCTGTTTCATCACAATTGAACACTTGTTGGGGTTTGAATTCTTCATTGTCTATGTACTTCTTAAACTGTACAAACTTCTCAGCTACTTTTTTGTCAGAACTGGCAGCCTCACCATGCCTTACCACACTGTGTATGTCACTAAGCTTCTTAAATCTCTCAAATCAACCTTTGAAATCACAAGCATCACCACTTGTTGCAGGCATTTTCTTTGCGAGATTGTCATGCAACTGCCTTGCCTTTTCACATATTATCGTCTGTGTAACACTATCTCCTGCTAATTGTTTTTGGGTAATCCACACCAACAATAACCTTTCCACTTCTTTGAGGGTTTGCGATCTCTCTTTTGTCAGCATATCTACCCCTTTTGCAACAACAGCACACTTTATTTACTTTCCATTTGCCACGATCGAAGTGATGGTTGAATGGGGTTTGCCATACATCCTGGCAAGTTCTGTAACATGCACTCCGATCTCATATTTTTCAATGATTTCCTTCTTGAATTTGATCGTGTTCCTCACTTTCTTTACCAGAAGGCTGGCACTAGCTTTCCTTGGGTTCATGGTGACTTATTTAGCAGTTGCAAGCACAAAAAACAATGGATTATTATGAAATGTATGAACTCACAGGGTGATGGTCATGCGCTGGTAAACAATGGCACACTGAGTGTGAATGTTGCAGGAGACTGGCTTTGTGTGCGTGGTGACAGGCAGATGCGTACCGGACGGTTGCCGAATCACGAGTCCAGTCACGAATCACAAAGCTAAAATTTTCCGAAAAAGCTTGCCGAAAGTCGGATTTCACAAAAGTCGCAGCCACCAAACGGCGGAGGTCCACTGTAATTGCTTGGCTTTTCTTATAATTTTCATGAGAATTGATGCATCGTGTTTAATAATATCTTTGTGTATTAAACCCTGCCCATATTGCTTTTCGTACTGAAGTTTTTTTTATCTATAGACCTTAGTATGCTGTTAGTTAGCCATGGGCAACCTAGCAGTTTATTCGTAATTTGTTTCATTTTTATGGGACAATGTTTGTTACATAGTCTTAAGTAATTTTTTAAGAAATGTGTCAATCCAATCATCGATACCATTGGCATTGGAGAATTTGTAGGCCGGTCAACTGTCCATGACTCTGTTGTGAAGTTACTTATTGAGGCCTCATCATGAAGTGGGGTGGTGGTCAGTAGTGCTGTCTGTGATTATCCCTGATTTAAGTAGGTCTAATATATAGGTCCATATATGGTCAATTATGGTTGCAGTCATCTCTGTCTGCCTGGTTGGTTTGGTTATTGATGGTATGAGAAGTGTACTGTTCATATTGTTGATGAAATCTTTTACTGGTTGGTCATCTGTTAGTCCAAGGTTGATGTTGAACTTGGTGAACGAAGTATGTTGATGGTAATAATAATTATTAATAATAACAATCACTCTGGAGTACTGTAAATGTCAGCTACCAAACCTATATGAAATACGTATGACATTTAAAGCACTCCAGAACGATTATTAATTATTATTATTACTATCGACATAACTTGTTCACTGAGTTTAATCATTTCTTAAGCTGCCATGAGAGAACAGAAAATGTTAACATACAGATGAACACACCAGTTAACCCGTTTACGGTGAACTTCTTTTGTACTCCTTCCATTTTCCTCTTGTTTTTCCTCTTCCAAGTGCTGCTGCACTTCTAACTATCTTGTACTATGGGGTGCACAATAAAGTACAAATATGTACAAATATGTAGTCTTGGAGACTTTGAAAGCCAGTGTACTGAGTGGCTGTGGGAAGGAGATTGAGATGCTTGATGTTGAGACGCCATGGAGAGCCCATTGTAACTCTGAGTTGTCGGTAAATGTATACATTGGTAAGTGAGGAGAGGCTGTATATGCATTTACATACATGTGTAGTGTGACCTAAGTGTAAATAGAAGTAGCAAGATATACCTGTTATCTTATGTGTTTGAGACAGAAAAAAAGTCACCAACAAACCTACTATCATGTAAAACAGGTTTCTGTTTCACACTCACTTGGCAGATGGTAGTACTACCTGTATAATTTTTTTTTTTTTTTTTGGGGGGGGGTCACCCTCCCACCAAGGCAGGATGACCCCAAAAAATTATTATTAATATCATATTCATGGGAAAGGGCTAAAACCAAAGGGTTCATACAGCACCTGGGAAATCGAATGTAATTAGGTTTGATCCATGGAAGGGGGGTGGAGTAGCTCCAGTTTTTTTTTTTTTTTATCAAAAACCCCTCACCAGTGTCAGTGCACCCCCATGAAGGGAGGATCTAGTGTAAAAAGCAGTGTGTTATTTATTTAAGCCCCATCACTGAATATCACCTTACTTCACTCAAACTATGGGGTGGGTCCTGGGGTCATTCTCCGCAGCCTAGTCTCACACCCGGATTTTTCATTTTTTTTTAATAGTTAAAAAGTGCTTGGTTCATCAATCGTGCAGCTCTCGCCTAAAAATACGAGATCATTTATGTTCCATATTTGCATATACTGTTATGCTATAATTATAGAGTAACTTCTGGTCATAAAAATTCTTCTCTTTTGAGTGAACATATAGTATAGAATTTTTTTCTGTGATAAGCACAGTTTTTTAAGTTTAATATGATTTTCATATAAGAGGTAAATGGGCTGGATTCATTATGCTCAGAAGTGCTACTCTCTTTTTGATTTATGATATGAATTAACAGGGTTCCTGGCCTTGATGGCTCTGGATATGTAGCGGTCTACTTTATATATATGCTGTTTTTTAATGTGTGAAGCCATGGTAGTGATCACTTGTATTAATGATGACAAATTAGCTCCGTCTGTACGTACAGTACCATCTGATGAAGATGGGAATGATGCCCTGCTTTTCCATCCCAACTGTGGCACATATGCCCAAGTCATCAACAATGGCCGAACAGCTCATCGACCAAAGTAAGTTGCAGTTTCATGTCTTTTTTTATTTTTTTATTTGTTTATAGATGTGGGAGTTTGACTTTTACTACCAGCCTAAATGTAGGGAACAATTTGTGTATCAAATTAAACTTTGCACAATGTAGGGAAATTTAAATTGCATTAAATTAAGCATTACTTTTCAAATTACCTGCATATTAAAACAATGAGCAAGAAAAAGGAAGTCAGTAAAAACAACAATGTTGTATAAAATATTTTAAAGTGTACATTTTTATATTGCATACATCAGGAGCAGATTGGCATGCATACATACATTCATATACAAACATTTACACACACATGCATACATTCATATACAGTGGACCCCTGGATTTTGTAATATTCAGAAATAGTAACGTTTTTTCGTCAAAATATTGGCTCGGTGATATTCATTGAGCTCGGTAATAGCCATTCGTCCCGAATGCATTCGCACAGTAACAGCGGCCCAACAATCAGTGTGCCATTGTTTATCATCCAGTGAATATGATCCCATGTGTTCATACATTTTGTATTATTCCATTCTTTTTATTGCTTCCAACTGCTAAATAAGCTACCATGGTCCCCAAGTAAGTTCCTAGTGCCAGCCAACCCTTTGTTAACGGGCTGAGAGAGAGTGGAGAATGTGCCTTCTTCAGTGATTCTGCGATATGTATGATACTAAAGCAGCACGAGTCAGTAAAGGCTATAGAGCTAGCCAGGGATAATGTGTAGCAATAACAGTGCAGCAAGTAAGTTAAGCAATTAATCGATAGAAAAAGGACAGCACGAAACTGACTCCTCCAATGTTGTTGGAGTTATATAGGGTGACTGACAACACTGCCATCTCTGCTGTTGCCAACACCACAACTATGTAAGGCTTATCTTTCAGTGGCCTTTGTACCTCCAACAACAAACAACACAGCAACACTCGTCAGTTAGGGAGAGAGAGGCATATGATATTTTATTCATTCTAGACTATATATCATATTTCTATGTTATTAATATTGTTTATTTTGTCATATTAAATGAATTGTGCTAGATAAATAAGTCGAAGAGTTGATATTAGTGCCATATTGAAGGACTGTCTTGTTCTGTCTCCCAACACTCCTCTGCCGCTGCCACAATTCCTAACGTACGTCAGAAACAGACCTCTCTGGAGCACTTTTTTTGAGCGACAAGAGTCCAGTGACTCTCAAGCTGGTTCTATTGGCATTAAAAAACAAAGAAGGGAAGTAACCCTGGAAAAGGACTTGGTACCTGAAGTCTTTATGGAGGCGGATTCCCCTTCCAAACAAGAGTAACTCCTCCATCCTCTTCCCTTCTCCCGTCTTCCATACATTAACAAGTCTTCAATAAAGGTAAGAGTCATATAATTATTGTTTTATTCTGCATGTCTTATTGTTTTCTGTGTAGGTAAATGTATATTTCATGTAAAAATTTTTTTTAACATTTTTGGGTGTCTGGAACGGATTAATTGGATTTACATTAATTCTTATGGGGAATATGAATTCAGAAATCGTCAGATTCGGGTTTAGTCACTCTCTCAGGAATGGATTAATTATGATAACCAGGGGTCCACTGTACAAGCATTTACATACATACCGTATTTTGTGGTTTATAAGATGCTCCGATGTATTACATGAGTCCTAGTTTAGAAGGTAATAATAATAAAAAGAGAAAAAGTTAAGAGTGCCTAATACCAAGTAATATTTACTCCACTGAAACCTATGGTAATTTTACATGCAGAAATAAGGTTATGTTTGATTTATGGGTAGGTCAAAACATATGAAATGCCTAGTGCTCACCTGAAGACAAAATTAATTTGGTTTATGGATTGGTTAAAACACTACAGCCACAAACACCACTCAGCATGTGATGAAAACATTGTTTCAGCTATGAGAGGTGTGTTTCTACAGCACCATCAGTGAAAACCAGCAAAAGCCTGTCTCAAAACCAGGAAAATCACTGTTTTCATCATTCCGACAATCACTGTCAGAGTTGTTCTCTGCATTCACACCAATATCAGACTCTGAGCTGTCACTATTCTCATAAACAAGGTCATCTTCTATTCCATGTAAAGCATTACAGTGGACCCTCAGTTAATGATGCCATCAGATAGTGATAAAATTGGATACAGATGTGTTTTTGCGTAAAAATATTGGCTCGGCTAATGATGAAAAACTCAGTTAGGGACATTCGTCCAGAGCATGTCCATGTGGCCTGGGCTACCTGCTGCCGCCCGGCCACTATATACAGCCAGTGTGCCATTGTTTACAAGCCAGGGCGGACGATTCCACGCATACAAGCAATACATTTTGTATTATTCCAGTGTTTTTAGTCCTTGTAACTGTTAAATAAGCCACCATGGGCCCAAAGAAAGCTTCTAGTGCCAACCCTGTGGTAAAAAGGGTGAGAAATACTATAGAATTGAAGAAAGAGATAATCACAAAGTACGAAAGTGGAGTGCATGCCTCCGAGCTGGCCAGGTTGTATAAGAAACCCCAATCAACCTCGCTACTATCTTGGCCAACAGAAAGGCAATCAAGGAAGCTGTTGTTGCGAAAGGTGCAAATGTGCTTACAAAACAGAGATCGCAAATACTGGAAGATGTATCAATCAAATCACATATTACTCGGGTAGATAATTTCAAGTAGATCCTTCATGTGTTAGCCCAAATCACCGACTAGTATGTTTTAAATAAGTGACCCACTGATCAGATCAGATCGACTGGTCCGAACCCTCGACTGGTCCGAACCCTTGATGGTCCGAACCCTTGACTGGTTTCAAACGGATTCGTTGGACAATAAAGCAGACTGTAAATGGATGGGGTTGTAGGCGCCCTTATCAAACACAAACAATAAATATAAATCAGGAACGTACACGGTAAGCTGTCCAATATACAAGTACAGTTAGAAATAGAAATACAAATAGCTAGAGCTTCATTTAAGGAGGTTATTAATAGAGTATTCAAGAGGTTGCTAGTAGAATTACAGTAAATCAACCATTCAAATCATTATGAAGCTCTGTATAGTCTGCAGTCAATCAAACAAACGGGCTTCCACATGGATAAATTGTCATTTTTGTGGAAATTGGTGTCACGCCCCTTGTGCAGATATCCAAGAACTAGCTACAAGCAGTATTAAAACAGGGAAGTGTTTTTGGGTATGCCCAAATGAGGAAAATCTGTGGACTAAGATCACAAGGGTATTAAAAGAGAATAACATCAAAGCTGCTTTCATAGACAACCTGGAAGCTTTCTACAACAGATGGGAACATAGAAAGTCTGGGCTGAATGGTACTGCTCTTGATACTGGCCATGTAGTCAGAAACTGTAAGGCTGGAGGTGATGTCCTGGTAGTCAGTAAATGTGGGGCTGATAGTGCTGTCCTGGGAGATAGTAATGGTGAAGCTGGAGGTGCTGTCCTGGGAGACAGTAATGGTGAAGCTGGAGGTGCTGTCCTGGGAGACAGTAATGGTGAAGCTGGAGGTGCTGTCCTGGGAGACAGTAATGGTGAAGCTGGAGGTGCTGTCCTGGGAGACAGTAATGGTGAAGCTGGAGGTGCTGTCCTGGGAGACAGTAATGGTGAAGCTGGAGGTGCTGTCCTGGGAGACAGTAATGGTGAAGCTGGAGTGCGTCTGGAGACAGTATGGTGAAGCTGGGATTTTGTCCAGGTTTGTCGGGAATTATACGCAGGAAGGAATACATATAAATGACCTCATAGGGGACAGGAGCCGTAGTGGGGAAACAAGTGTAGTCAAAGATAAGATAAAACCAATATTGCAAACTAGAAATACCACAGGAAATAGCAAACAAGAGGGGCTCCACTAGATTTAGTGAGGATATATTACCAAAAACAACTGGTGGGAGTTCCATTGTTGGTGCTAGGGAGGATAGGAATAAGACAGGGAAACATGCACCAACAGGGAATACAGTCACAGAAACCCAAGGCAAATGGAAACCAAGCCTGTGCACATACTATGCACTTGGTATATGCAGACATGGGAAATCTGGAAAAACAGACGGGACGTGCAACTATGACCACCCTAGAAAATGCCATGCCCATATGACAACAGGAAAATGCAAACTCCCTTCCTGTAAGCTTTTTCACCCTGAAATGTGTACCTCTTCAGTACAGGAAGGACTGTGCTATAACTTAAATTGCCAGGCACACCATCTAAAGGGTACAAAAAGATACAAAACATCCAGGCCATGGGAAAACCTGGGTAGCCACAGCCACTCAAGAGGGACAGGTTTTTTAGTGCCAGGAAGGAAAAAAAACTGGCAGGAAATGGCAGAAATCGTACACCAAATCCGGTCATTCCTGGAGTGGAACCACAGTCGATGGCCTCCACTCCAAACCAACAGATACAGATACTAATGCCGGAAAAAAAAATCCCCCCCCCAGTACCAACAATACCACCAGTCCGATGACATTCTTCTTTGCAAATATACAGGGTCTAAAGCCAGCAACAAACAAAATACCTTTCATCCGTGGACTGCTTGCAGAGGCAAAGGCAATGTTCGCGGCTTTCACTGAGACCCACATAAAGGATCACTTGGACAGCAAAATATGGATCCCAGGTTACAACCTATACAGATGTGACAGAGTGAACAGGCAAAAAGGGGGGGGGGGTTGGCCTGTACATTACAGAGTCACTTGTTTGCACAGAACTGCTAAATGCCTCAAATGATGTAGTGGAAGTTTTAGCAGTAAAGGTCAAGAACCAAAACCTAGTCATTGTGGTAGTCTACAAGCCTCTGGATGCAACATCCCAGCAATTCCAGGAACAGCTGTTAAAAATTGACCACTGTCTGGAAAATCTTCCAGCTCCTGCACCCAACATCTTGCTCCTTGGGGATTTCAACTTAAGGCACCTAAAATGGAGGAATATAGCAAATAATATTGTTGCAGTAATAACACCAGGAGGCAGCTCTGATGAAAACTCACACTCACACGAGCTTTTAAATCTCTGCACAAAATTCAATTTAAACCAGCAAATAA